AAACAGTTTTCCCCATAGACGTAATGCTAAGAAAATTGACAATTTCTCGTAGATGGCTGAACTAATCTTAATCAAATTTTGCTATAATATACTTTCACATCTCCTCTTTTGAATAGCATACCCGCCCTTTCCCGTCCCCCTTACAAGGGGGCTAAAAATATGCCATTTCGAAATGACCCAGAAATTTCTATGTTCAAGTCACGTGATTTGAATACATTTTTCAGATAAAATATTTGATATATGGGACATCATTTTACCGTTTACAGATTTGAGCTAGCTCATCCCGTTTGGGAGATATTACAAATTTACATTGGAAGAAACATATTGGCCGCCCTATATGTTATTACAACATATGTTTTATACTAAAATTTTGAGTGTTATGTATTGAATTATTAATAATAAGTTTTATTACCTAAATGAAATTTCACAGTATTTAGTTCTACAGATTAAAATACAAAATACTATAATTTTCATCACTATACAGTATCCCGTTAGTTTATTTTCTAGATAAATTTCTATTTTCTCACATTTTAATTTTGTGTAGGTTGTGTGAACTGTACACTATACATTTTTAATTTTTATCACTTTCCATTGACATTGATTGATAAATACAGATTCAAATAAACAATAACTTGGCCTTCATTATGTAATTTATATTTTACATAATATTAATTATTAAAAGAGTTGCTTTAAATCATTGTTAGGATCAATTTTCAACGATAACAATCATAGAGATATTGCATTCAATAGTGACTTACAAAGTGCGGTTCAGCTGAGAAAAATGTCTATGACTACTATTCGGTATTAAATTTATTTTACATTCTCTTATCATGTTTAAATTTTTTAGTTATGTACTAAATAAATAGAATTCATTTAATAGGAAATATGCAAATACAACGAATTTTGCGGAATTGTTGAATACAACTGTTAATGAAATCTTTGCACAAATGTTGACCAAAGAGGGAATCGATCGGCCGTTTAAACCGCAATCATATTGTCACGAATTGGTTATGAATATGTTTAATATCTCTGTCTTTAACCATAAGTAAATTAAAATTGACTATTTAATTATAACAATACACATTCTTACGTATTCATAATTAACAATTATAATTTGCATATTATTAATTTAGAATGGATCAGAAAATGCACACAAACTTTCAATATCCAAGCCATTGCTTTGGACACGATATTAGCAATTTGTACGGCATATACGAGTTTATACCCATTGCGCGATATTTTATGGCCAATCCTTTGCAAAAATTACAAAAAACATATAATAAATGTTTTGAATACGCAATAAATGAATTAAAATTACGCGATAATAATTACGACGAGAGTAATGGCCGAGACTTTTGCAGTCAGTTTCTCGACGCTAAACGCCGGGCAGAGGCGGAGGAAAAGCCGGACTTTGAATGTTTCAATGATAATAACATCGCAGCCGTAATCATGGACATGTATATAGGTATTGATTTACTTACTACACTGCAATTGCAATTAATTATTAATATAGTTTAGTTTATATTAAAAAAATAATAATAATAATTCAGGCTTGTTATAAATTGATTTATAAATTGTTATTAGATTGATTTACTATTTATTAATACAGTTTAGTCTCTATATAAGAAGTGAGTAATTGTCATGTATTAAATTCTTCCTATGGTATCAATTAAAGGCTTTTTATAAAGAGGTTCACTGAATGTTATTATCACTAATAACTTATTAATAAAAGTAAAAATAAATTATTATCTAAATGATATTTCATGATAACAGCGGGAACGGACACAATGCATCTGACTTTGGTATGGAATATACTATTTATGGTATATTATAGCGATTGGCAGCTAATCATGCGAAATGAAGTGAACGATAGACTGGGCGATAGGGCACCGGTTGTGGCCGATAAACACCATTTGCATTGTGTTATGGCATTCATATACGAAACCATTCGTTGGAGAAACGTAGGACCTATGGGTGCACCGCATATGACTTTATCGGATACCATATTAGGTTAAATTTAATTTTAAAATTATTTTTAATTAATAGTAATTTAATTGATATTTATATTGCTTAGGCGGAAAATACAAAGTTCCCGACCACACAATACTGATCGGTCATTTGTGGCATATATTGACTAACGATAAATATTTTTCAAACGCTGACCAATTTAAACCTGAACGTTTTCTTGATAAGCAAGGTAATTTCAATTCTATTGGCTCATCAGCACATATACCGTTTGGCACGGGTAGGCGTGTTTGTATTGGAGAATTAATGGGCATAAACAGTTTATTTTTAATTATGGTAAACATTATACAATATACAAACGACCACCCGATAAAACTAGTGGACCGATATCATAATCCCGATATTTTGGAGCCCGACCGGGACGGCATGGCATTGCTTTTAAAGACTATTGATTTTGAAATTCTTTTTGAAAAATAATTTGTGTTTATGCAAAATGTTTAAATTTTAGTTTTAAATGGATTGCTTTTACAATATAATTTTTAAAAATTAAAAGTACGTTAAAAAACAATATTATAAATATTATGTATTTTATTATATTAAAATAATTTTATTTGGAACTTAAATTGGATTAATACTAAATAAAAACTTTTAGTAATTGGTAAATTTAATCACTAACTTATGTTAGAGCCGGAGCCGCAACACCGGCTCTGGCTCTTGGAGCCGGTAGAGCCGGAACCGCGGCTCGAGCCGACTCCGGCTCTAACGTCCCCGACTCTGATACGACTCTGGCTCTAGTATTTCAATACTACTTTGTATAAAATTTAACAAAAATTATAGTTTTTAATTATTAATAATAAGTAAAATGCTGTTTTAGTTTATATGTTGTGCTATACTATTAAAATGCAATGATATATTTGGTGTATTGCATGTATATATTGCATTACTATAGCACCGGCTTCGACACGGCACTGAACCGGCACGGCTCAGATACGGGTCTGGCTCTCAACCGGCTCTTACGGCACCGGCTCTAAAAGCCGTCTGATTGCACGGCTGGCTGTGCCGGGACTTTGGGTTTTAAACCTGCAAAAGTTAGTGATTAAATTTACAATATTGAATAACCTAACTTATTAATTGTCTTATAACAGGATTTATACACCATATATAGATTATAATAATTGCACATCAACTTTATCAAGTTAGTACAATATAAGTTTATAATTGTATCAACATTTTACAGATTATTAAATATTTAACTTTTGTTTAACTAACTAGGGTTTGTACTTTAATTGTTTCAATATAAGAGTATATTGCAATATGTTGCTTATTATTTTGCTACCATCTAATGATGTTTAAAATTAGTAAATTTTATTTTAATATATGCAATATAATTTATAACCATCTGTTATACATTTATTATTTACTTTTATGAAAATTCACATTTAAAAATAGCACTTAATTAGATTTTATAATTATTGACGGTCATATTTACAAGTTTTCATAATTATATAAGGGACCATGTTTATGTGAGTATTGCTATATTTAATTAACATATAGATATGCAGTATGTATACTGTAATATGCTTAATATTATTATTAAAACTAATTTTAATGTTAATAGTATTACGTGGTTAGACATTTGTGTGACATTTATAATTGGACTGATTGGATTTTACCTGGTAGGCTTTTATTCAAAGTTATCTAACTATCCACCTGGTCCAATTCCACTACCAGTAATGGGCAATCTACTATGTATGCATCAAATTTAATTATCTTTAGTTACTTGCTAATTATAGTATTTATATTAATAAAACTTTGACACTAAATCACCACGTATGCAAAATATTTTAATTAACATTTAATGAATTTTTATTTAAATAGTATTTAGAAATAAAAAACAACACATAAACCAAGAACTGTCAAAACTATACAAACTGTATGGACCGGTGGTGACCGTATGGGTCGGTCCCATACCTATCGTACTTATTGGTGATCCGGATATTAGTAAACAAGCTTTTAATAAACAAGAATGCTCGGGAAAATTTCAAATTTTGCTTGGTAATATTTTAATAATAATTTAATTTCATATAATATAAAGAAATATTACAATATACTGTAATACTTTTTTACACTAATATTGTACAATATATTAGATTGTGTACAATATNAGTAAATTTTATTTTAATATATGCAATATAATTTATAACCATCTGTTATACATTTATTATTTACTTTTATGAAAATTCACATTTAAAAATAGCACTTAATTAGATTTTATAATTATTGACGGTCATATTTACAAGTTTTCATAATTATATAAGGGACCATGTTTATGTGAGTATTGCTATATTTAATTAACATATAGATATGCAGTATGTATACTGTAATATGCTTAATATTATTATTAAAACTAATTTTAATGTTAATAGTATTACGTGGTTAGACATTTGTGTGACATTTATAATTGGACTGATTGGATTTTACCTGGTAGGCTTTTATTCAAAGTTATCTAACTATCCACCTGGTCCAATTCCACTACCAGTAATGGGCAATCTACTATGTATGCATCAAATTTAATTATCTTTAGTTACTTGCTAATTATAGTATTTATATTAATAAAACTTTGACACTAAATCACCACGTATGCAAAATATTTTAATTAACATTTAATGAATTTTTATTTAAATAGTATTTAGAAATAAAAAACAACACATAAACCAAGAACTGTCAAAACTATACAAACTGTATGGACCGGTGGTGACCGTATGGGTCGGTCCCATACCTATCGTACTTATTGGTGATCCGGATATTAGTAAACAAGCTTTTAATAAACAAGAATGCTCGGGAAAATTTCAAATTTTGCTTGGTAATATTTTAATAATAATTTAATTTCATATAATATAAAGAAATATTACAATATACTGTAATACTTTTTTACACTAATATTGTACAATATATTAGATTGTGTACAATATATAATTTATAACTTACACTATGATTAATGCATTGACTTTAAGGTGTTATAAATTACTTTGTGCTATATTAAGCCAGGCCAATCTTTTTTAGAGTATCACAGATACAGATTCAAAGTATGCCATAAAAAGGTGGCGCAACTGTCAGTAAAAAAGTTTAGGTTTGTCAGTATTAAACAAGAAACACCACGTGAAGGTGAACCTAATAGTTTCTCACTTATTTTTATAGTGGTTGGCTTTCAGTCTATCCATAAAATGTCATTTAAAACAAAATTTAATTATTAAATACACATTTTAATGAGATTTCTTATATTGTTTGCAATTATCAACAATTTTATTAATATTTGACTCAATCGTATTTGATGACTATATTTTCAAACGTGATCTTAATGTTTTTGCGCAAATACTACAAGTTTTGTCATTTTTAAGCGATTTCATTAGAGAAAAAAATTGTTTACAATTAAAAGTAGATCCAAAATTGTTCCACGTTGTGCCCCTTATATTAAATATAATTATATTTAATTATAATGTAAAATCTCTGTCAATTGTTAATTTAATTAATTAATTATGGATATATTTATGTTATATATTTTAATAGAACATGTGGCTACACTAAGTATCCCCGGGATACTAGATTGGCCAGCAATATGCTATATTTTACATATGGATTTACTGTACATAGATTAATGAGTTGCTTTAAATAATTTTTAGGATCAATTTTTAACGATGACAATCATAGAGATATTGCATTCAATAGTCACTTAGAAAGTGTGGTTCAGCTGAGAAAAATGACCATGACTACTATTCGGTAATAGATTTTTAAAAACTTTTATCATGTTTTAAAAAATTTAGTTGTTTATTTAATAAATTAAATTTATTTAATAGAAAATATACCAAAACAACGGATTTTGAAAAATTATTGAACAAAACTGTTAATGAAATCTTTGCCAAAATGTTGACCAAAGAGGGAATCGATCGGCCGTTTAAACCGCAATCTTATTGTCACGAATTGGTTATGAATATGTTTAATGTCTCTATTTTTAACCATAAGTAAATTAAAATTAACAAGATCATTATAACAATACACATTATTACATACTTGTAATAAACAATTATAATTTGCATATTATTAATCTAGGATGAATCAGGAAATGTACACAAACTTTCATTATCCAAGCCATTACTTCGGACACCAAATGAACAATTTGTACGGCATATACGAGTTTATACCCATTGCACGATATTTTATGGCCAATCCGTTGCAAAAATTACAACAAACATATACGAAATGTTTTGAATACATAATAAATGAATTAAAATTACGCCATAATAATTACGACGAGAGTAATGGCCGAGACTTTTGCGGTCAGTTTATTGACGCTAAACGCCGAGCAGAGACGGAGGGAAAGTCGGGCGTTGAATATATCAATGATAGTAATATTGCGGCCGCAGTGATGGACATGTATATAGGTATCAATTGAATTACTAATTATTAATACAGTTTAGTCTCTATATACTTAAGAAAACTTAATAATAATAATAAATAATTATCTAAATGATTTTTCATGATAACAGGGGGAATAGACACCGTATATACAACTCTCGTATGGAATGTACTATTTATGGTATATTATAGCGATTGGCAGCAAATTATGCGAAATGAAGTGAACGATAGACTGGGCGATAGGGCACCGGTTGTGGCCGATAAACACTATTTGCATTGTGTTATGGCATTCATATACGAGACCATTCGTTATAGAATCGCAGGACCTATGGGTGCACCGCATATGACTTTATCAGATACCATATTAGGTTAAACTTGATTATAAAATTATATTTAATTAATAGTAATTTAATTGATATTTTATTGCTTAGGCGACAAATACCCAGTTCCCGGTCAAACAATACTGATCACTCATTATTGGCATATATTGACTAACGATAAATCTTTTTCAAACGCTGACCAATTTAAACCTGAACGTTTTATTGATGAGCATGGCCAGTTTAACTCCGTTGGCTCAGCAGCATATATACCGTTTGGCACGGGTAGGCGTATGTGTATCGGAGAATTGATGGCTATAAATGGTTTATTTTTAATCATGGTAAAAATATTACAATATACAAACGACCACCCGATGAAACTAGTGGACCGATTTAATAATCCCGATAGTTTGCAGCCCAATCGGGACGGCATGGCATTGACTATAAGTTTTATTGATTTTGAAATTATTTTTGAAAAATAATTACTGTTTATAATATGCAAAATGTTTTAATTTGAAAAAATGATTTTAAATGGATTTATTACAATATATCTTTTTTAACCACAATTCAGAATGAAGAATGTGGTTTATAGGATGTCGACGCTACCCCTCCCCCTTTATGCGATTTAACATGGGATTACAGTTTAAGTCTATGGCTATACTTTAACATGGGGTTCTTGAGTCTATGGGGGATTAACATGGGATTACAGCATAATCCTATAGCTATACTTTAACATGGGTAATGCTAAGTCTATGGCATAGGAATAACGTGGGTAATGCTAAGTCTATGGCATAAGATTAACATGGATAATGCTAAGTCTACGGACAATGATAAGTCTATGGCATAAGGATAACATGTGTAATGGTATATCAATGGGACAATGGGATTATAAATGAATCTGCCATAGTAAATAGAACTAATTGTTGTCAAAAATATTTAAAATTCTCAAAATAACAAGAGTGAAAGTATTCTAACAATAGTATTAAAAAATTAAAAATCTTTGATGTATTTCCCGAATAGTGGTTAACGTATAGCATCGCTGTGTGATCCTTATTTATAAATAGACATTGGTACAATAAATACAAGGCTACCCATAGCAACGAGAATACACCATTAGATCGATTAATGACCAAGGCGATCAAAGTGATAAATGCTAACCTGAGCAAAGATCAAGCACGTCGGTTTCATGATTATTTTCTATCATATATTGACGCTTACGATATATTAATGGATTATAAAGTCGATAAAGTGCTCACTTATAAAGAATTTTTCTCTATTAGGTATTTAATATAAATGCTATTTTTATCTTCCTCTTTCATCACTGGTAAGTATTAGTTTTTGAGTTTACATAATTTCATTAAAGGTTTTAAGTTTAGCGCTTATGTGCCACATACTTTCCATTCATATGATGATAATTTGGCCTTTCTTATATACAGAAATACTCATTATTCAATGCTCATTATATGAATGGATAGTATATTGTTTATAAGGGCCAATATTAAAACTTTTAATGCAATTATTTAAGCTTATTAGTAGTATATATTTTAAATCTGGCTTCATCATGTTAATGCACGATAATGATATCCTGGATATCATATCCACAATTAAGTATTTTGTTATATATAAAATTATATTTAACTATCGTGGTGTATTTTTAAAATTAAAATTTTAACAGACTAATTTTTCTATAGAAAACATTAATTTAAACAATACACCAAGATAGTTAAATATAACTTTATATCGAAAACTTGATCATTATCTTGCTTTTCCATGCTGAAGTCGGATTTAAAACATACTCTTTCAGTTAGTTTTAATTTTTAAAATACCTATAAATCGCCTCATAAATTGCGCTAATAAATTGACCATGTAGGGAAGTGGACGCCGCCGGCTATAACCTATTTATATGGGCAGAGTTGAGCGCCGGATTCGACCCGAACGACCACAATGTGACAAACAACGACACCTACCGGGCGTTCACAATCATATGCTACAAACACTGTGTGCTGGTCAACGAGCTCTACTCATTTGGCAAAGAGGTGCGGGCGGGCGACTACCGCACGGCATACATGTATCTGCTTATGATGAGAGAGGGCTGGACAGCACAACAGGCCGCAGACAGTGTAACCCGTGAAATGCGCGCCCTCTGGACACTGGCCCAGGAGTACGGCCGACGGCTGAACGCTATGAACGTACCGGCGCTCGACCGGTACGTCTCGGAAGCTCTCAGCGTAACGAATGGCAACTTTTATTGGTCTTCCGTTTGCGGTCGCTATAACGCCCAATGATAGGATAGGGGTTGCAACGGGTGTTTGTTATATGTTATCTTTGTCGCACCAGGTTCTATATGTTTAGTCACATACAGTCTGACCCCGGATTTGACATGTCATCGGTGCTGTAAATAATATGTGTCAAAATCGCATTCTGTTAAAATCGAGTACATTAACAGTACTAATATGACTCAGTGGTGCTAGCAAAAACATGTGTCAAAATCGCGTATGTCAAAACCGGGGTCAGACAGTATTTGTATAAATAATGTGGTGTTTAAAATCACAACTTTTCTTTTTGCTCCCACCCTATTGGATTTAACACGGTATTACAAATTATGCCTACGACCTTCACTATGATAACTTTAGTAAAGTTATATTGGGTTAAATGAGTACATAGTTTGTTCGATACGTTGTGGTACAGTTAAAATTATATAAATAGTATCATCATAAAGGTTTATATATTGGTTCAACGAAGAACTATGTTAGTCTTTTGGTATTTCTAGTGTAGCCAGAAATGTGAAATTAATTTTATAATTTAAGGTAACATTCCAAAGCACTAGAAATCAAGTTTAATAAAGATCGGATAATAGGGCCAAACGATCCTATAAACCACATTATTCATATCAGAATTGTGGTTAAAAATATTGATAATTTATAAATTCTGTTGAGGAACAGCTCCTTATAAGAAACTGATTTGAAATTTATTTTGGATCTTTTTATATTTATAACAACACCCCTCTTGTAAATACTCTCTCTATAAGAAACACTTTGCCGTGCAACTGTATGTTTCTTATTGAGAGGATGCATTGTATCTGAATTATAACAACAGTTAAATATAAAGGAGAAAGGGGAAGAATATGTTAATTTGCCTTAAAAACAATTCTAATTCTACCTTACGCTAAAATGTACAATGGCCGATTTTTTGTTTAAAGTTAATTAATTGTGATTTTTTAAACATCGCTAAAAGTCTATATGAATGCCCGACATCGGGATTGACCATATTGGTCACTATTATCAGAAAATATAAACCTATTCAAAATTAACGTGATAAATATCATTAATGTAGAATTTAACGGAATTATATATATAATAAATGTTAATTTTTAATAAATTTATATTGCCCATAACAGTTAAATATAAAGGAGAAAGGGGAAGAATATGTTAATTTGCCTTAAAAACAATTCTAATTCTACCTTACGCTAAAATGTACAATGGCCGATTTTTTGTTTAAAGTTAATTAATTGTGATTTTT